AATAGTTCCTTAATAGCTGCTTCTATGGGTTTTATGTTGCAATGATAATTGTACAAATATATCCTATCAAAATATATTGTTAAAATTAAGATAGCTTGTTTCTTCTTACTTTTTCTAATGTGGCTACTAGAGTTTAAAATTACGTATGTGGCTTCCATTGTATTTCCATTGACAGCTCTGGTCTAGAAAATTAAACAGTAAACAGCCTAGTAGCTGTCATTTTTGTCACTTGGCATGAAGTGCTCCTATTTTATACATGGAAACATTTCAAGTTTTCTTAAGGGGTTCAACCTTATCTTCCTTCCCCTCTGTAATTTCTTCCGATTAAAAGTAAGCAAAAAAGATGAGTCGCTATGAAAGAAAAAGCAAGATATATTGAGTGGAAACAAGCATGCATAGTGTGGTAATACATGGCAAAATGCAATTTGCATTTATACATGTATATATTTACATGCAGCTTCTTGCATATGTACCAAATGTTTCTTGAAAGATACAAAAGATTAGGTGGGCAGAGTTCTACTTTTCATATAGATAAGTGAGTAACTCACTTGGGAAATTTCCAAATGTGACCATAGTGCAGATTTTACTGAGCATCCTGCATTAAGTCCTATACTCACATCAGCATCCCTACCTGCTGATGGCGCCTCTCATGGCCAGCGCTCACATCTCCTGTGGGAGGATGTCCCTAACTCCTTTATTCATACTAGGAACACGTTAACATCATTTCTTATTTGCATGCTTGTCTCCCTTAGCAGACCATAAGTTTCTTGAAGAATGAGGATGGTGCTTCATTTGAGTATTGTTATATACCAAAAGTCAAGAAGAGTGCCTGACACATAGTATGTGCTTAATAAATTTTGTAAAATTTCAGTGAATGAGTGAATGAACAAATCGGATAATGAAAGAAATGCGATTTTGGTACAAGATTAAGAACACAGGTTTTGCAATACAACAAACAGACAAATGCCTACTTGTTTGAAAGTGAAGGCAGTTTTCACTGTGGCCATGTTTGCATGCATGTTGACTCTAGCTCTGAAAGTGGTTATGTATCTAAAGGTAACACAATTCTGTAAGCTGCTTTTAAAATTGATAAAATCTAAAATATCACAGAAAAATGTCGTATTTCAAAACAATACCATTCTTTCACACTAGTTCAGTAGTGGTGTCAGAAAGGGAGAAAGGCATAGGAGGAAGTGAGGAGGGATGCAGCAGAGAAGACATTGAAATGATGTGAGAAAGCAAAATATTCAAGAGAAAACATTCTGACATGAAGACAGGGCAAAGAGCAATTGCCCCGCTGCTCCTCCTCCTCCTCCCCCTCTTCTTTCCTGTTTTGTGTTGGGTATTTTCAAGATAGGGTCTTGCAAATTATTTCCCCAGGCTGTCTTCAATCATGATCTCTGCCTCCTGAGTAGCTAGGATTACAGGCATGAGCCACTGGCACCTGGCAAGGATTTCTTACATAGGGTAAAAACACTTCATATGTTTTGAATCTTTAAATGAAATCTATATCTCTCTCAATTCCTCAACCTAAGGTTAAAAAACAAATTAATTAATTTTTTATTGATATAATTACTTTGATGATCCTCCTTTTTGTGGGGGAAGTACTGGGGCTTGAACTCAGGGCCTTCTACTTTCTAGGTAGGTGCTCTACCACATGAGCCACTCCGCCAGCTTTCAATGATCCTTAATTTTAAAAAAGCCACATTTGCTTATTAAAGTTGTATAAAATTCATATTAAATATGTACTTAAAAACCATTCTGAAAAATTAACAGGGGATTGTCCCTTAAGAATGGCTAGGTGAAGTGGCTCTCGTCTATAATCCCAGCTACTCAAGAGTCAGAGATTGGGAGGGTCATGGTTCAATGCCAGCCCAGGCAAAAATTTAACAAGATTCATCTCAACCAATAAGCTGAGCCTGGTGGTACACATCTGTAATCGTAGTTTTATGGGAGACATAGTTAAGGAGGATCACAGTCCAATCCCAGACAAAAACCACAAGACATTATCTGAAAAGTAACTAAAGCAAAAGGGATTGAAGGTGTGGCTCAAGTGGTAGAAAGTCTACCTAGCAAACTTAAGGCTCTGAGTTCAAATTCTAGTCTGCCAAAATAAAAAAATGAATACATATTGTTACACCCAGCATATTGTATAATTATGAATACTTTAGATTAAACCCATGAATAAAAAGTACTCATGAAATCTATTATTTCTAATAGGTTTACAATATTTCTTAAATAGAACATTTGGCTGGTTATATATGCCACATTTTCCTGTTTTTAGCCTAATGAAAACTTTTTGTTTGTTTGTTTTTTGCAGTACTGGGGTTTGAACTCAGTGCCTTCACCTTGAGCCACTCCTCCAGCCCTATTTTTGTGAAGGGTTTTTCAAGATAGGGTCTTTTGAACTATCTGCCTGGGCTGGCTTCGAACCACGATCCTCCTGATCTCTGCCTCCTGAGTAGCTAGGATTATAGGCATGAGCCAAAAGTATCACAAATAATCTTTAAAATGTCTTATTCAAAATAGTTCAGCCTAGGAAAAATAATATATATTGTTGTTAATGTGGATATTTTAGAAGTTAAAATTTGGTGTGGATGATTGGTCAATTTCTACAGTAAGTCATTTAACCAGGATCTTTTAGAAAATGTTGATCTTATAAGAATTTATTAAGGATTAATCTGTTTGATTCCATGAGGAATGAAAATTCCTCATGCTATAACAGCTTTACTTCTTTTACTATTTTAACTTCAAATAAATGATTAGAAGTATGAAGTTTACCAACATGCTAAGTTATCATTAAAGTTGTTTTTCTGGCCTAATGAAGATTCTGAATTGTATCTTATTTATAGCTCCAAGCTTGTATAATATAGTAGTTATTTCTTTTTTTTTTTCTTGGTGGCACTGGGGCTTGAACTCACGGCCTCACATATACTAGGCAGGCGCTGTACCGTTTGAGCCACCCCACCAGAAAGAGTTAGAATGGGACACTGGGGGATATGTTTTTTGGGGCAGTTACACTGGTATACCCTTTTAGACAGCAACATCAAAGTGTAGCAACGTGACCTCACTCATGAGGAAAAGGCTGAACAGATGAGAAGTTGTCTGGGCCACATCCTAGTATGTAACAAATAATGGAAAGCTACTGATTAATGTAATAATAACATCTGAAGTAAAGTTTAAAATACAGTAAACACAAAATAAAAATGACTACGTAGGGACATGGAAAAGCGTATGATACAATATCAATTAATGACATCACAATGTAACGCTAATGAGGTAACACATATTCAGGTATACAAGGACCAAGCAGTCATACAAAGGTGATAGCTATTAATGTTTATTAGTTTTAATCTTATTGATATGCCAATAAGATTAAATACAATAAATTTAAATACAATAAAAGTTATTTATTAATGATGCCATTTATCTTCTAAATTCTAGTAGACAGTGCTACTAAATCCAATTGGAGTCTTAAAAAGAAAACATTTTTTGTGGGTTTTATCCAAGTTAGGTCTCTTAAATCTTTGGTGGTTACAGAATACTTCAGGTGCCTTCCACAGGGGTCTAAAACAATAGGAAATGAGTTATGAAAGTAGAAATACCCAGGGAGTAATGACTTTTGTGTGTGAGTGTACATTTTGGCTATTGTCATTCCAACTCCTTGTCATTACTGACTTCCTCATTCTTAGAACATTAAGCATGTGTTATAAATTATTACACCATATTTAATCCCAATCAGTAAAATGATTATGTGAGTCAGATATAAGCCAATGTTTCCAAAACAGAATTAAGGTAAAATTGAAGTTAAGGTGGTAGGAAGTAAAATTGAAACAAATTAAAAAAATGAACTCAAGGGCTACAACAGAGGTCAGAAGATGACAAAATGCACACAGCAGGCTGGGTGATAGTAGGGAGTGATGGAGTCTATGGCAACGTGCAAAGCTTGCCCAACACAGCATCAACTACCCACAAGCTCCAAGAGGTAGTTGACATGTATGAATGAATGCAGACACAGCCTCTGGGGCTGTGATGTCAGCATCTTTCAAAGAGGCCAGAAATACAGATGTTCAAGTGAAAGATCTGAGTTTGTAACTGTTGACAACTAATTTGAATTAGTTTTCATTTTTTATACACTGTATAGACAAGTAATAGCTGCTCTTAGGCTTATTTTGTTTCATGGGCATCCTGTCTGCCACCTTTGCCTTATAACATAACATGGAGAGATTTCACAAAAGAATGGTTCTCATCTACATTTTATTTCCAATAAAACACATTTTTTTTTCATTTAGGCCTCTTCATAGTAGGAAAGAAAAGAAGGAAGGAAGGAAAGAAAGGACAAAAGAGAGAGAGGATAGGAGGAAAGGGATGGAGGAAGGGAAAGAGGGAGGGAGAAAGGAAGAGGAGGGAAGGAAAGATGAAAAACAGTGATGCTAAGGTAAGCCGTGAGTATGTTGGGAGCCACGAGTCCATCCCAAGGCCCATAAGAACAATATACTAAGACCTAAGCGTTCCTGAGGAGCGACACTACGGAGGAGCTCACTTATTTTCTGAATAATGACTGAGGAGACATTCTGAGTCACTACAAAAGGAAATTAGCTTGTTAAAAATATGACTCCCTTTGCTGAAATTACAGTGAAAATGGTAAGAGTGAAACACAAAATCTGACCAAGATGGAATTGCCATGAGCTCCCAAACTGCAAATAGGATTCAGGACTGTCCTGCATTGAACCTGTTGCTCACTTCTCTTCCCTTACCCCACTCCTTCCAACTCTCATCTTCCCTCTTTGGCTGCCGGAAGGAGGCCCCTGGAGATTTGTAAGGAATGGTGTCTGGCTGTGGTCCAGGAGGAAGCAGGAGGCTAAGTGTAAAGGAGCTTTTTCTTTAGTGGTAAGAATCCTCGCCATCAGAGAGTGCCTCAGTGGACAGCTGGAAGGAAGGGTAGAGGCGTCTACTCAACTACCATTTGCATTACATGCACCCAAGGAAAAAATGTTTACCTGGTGGAGCCACGGTTAACCTTTTTTCCTTGCTGAGCCGGTGCCCTTGGATGAATTCACTCATGGAAGGGGGGCCCTTCAGAAGAAATGATTCTGTGGAGGTGGGATCAGGGGGGACTCTTAATAAATTCTGTAGGTAGGAAGCCCCTGAAGTCCTGGGACGGCTCTGATCACAAAGGGAAGGTGAAAATTGTCTTGCAGGAGATCCAAGAAAAATACATATAGGAAACAAAAAAGTTTTACTTTAATTACCTTTCAACGCCTCACCAGTGACAACATTATTTATATTGGCATTTAATTTTTTAAATATATAAAATCAAGATTTTTGCTAATTTTTTAGTTTCCACATCAGGACACAAGCCTTTTGGAAAACTGTTTTGGATACTGGAAAAGAGATTTATTACAGTTAGTCAGGTTGAACCGCAAATAGAAAAATATATATATTATTTGATTCTTAACTGAAAGCTCCTAAAATGAACAATTTTAACCATATTAACTGAAAAGACAAGGTAACTTGAAAGCCAGAACTTGGGAAAAGGGTCACAAAATCAAGCCACTAAAAACCGTACAAGCGGTTTCTCTGAGCAATATTCACATGCTAAATGAAAAAGCACAAAACTTGCTTTTAAGAAAGGCTATACATATATTCCATTCCATTTTACCTAAATACAGACATGCCCTTTCAAGCAGTCATCAGTTTCGGACAAGTGGACAAAAATTCTCTGAAGAGAATTCTGGCCCCCATCAAAGAGAAGCTGGTAAATAGCACCATTTGCAGAGAACAATGACTTTCAAAACTGCAGCCTGTGTGGAACAGCTTCATTCTTGTATCAGCCTTTATCTACCAATTTTAAGTTGGAGGCAAGGGAGAGGCATACTTGTGTGTACAGAGAGCAGCAAAAATATTAACAGACAATTGATTATCATATGGTTAATCACGAGGTGGTGATGGGGTGGCAGAAAGGAATACGTAAGCACAATTTTCGTAAGATTCTGATCTGGAAAGACCAACATTAATTAGCAAGGCCCAGTTATACCAGCTTCCATTTATCTTTTCCTTCCCCTTCTCCATCCTCTACTACAAGAGCACAGTAATTTTTGCAGTTAACTAAAATCTGGCCACTGCACCATACTATGAAAATCGCTGCATGCATACCTTTTCCTCTGAGTGCCACTGCTGACCCGAATGGTGGGTGCCTGTGGGCCCTGACTATGCAGGAGGTAAGTGTCTATGGTAGGCACGGTGACTGACGCCTCCCCACTTACTTTAGGGCTGCCGATCTTGCTCTTTCCAAGTTTGCCTTTGCTGCGTCGGGACTGCTCATGGTCAAACTCTAAGTCCTCCAGCCGCTGGGTCAGGGCGAGTTTTTGCTGGATAGCCATTCGTAACAAAGTGTTCAGAGTCTTCTTCTCGTCCTCTGCAGCTGCTAACTGTCTCTGCATCTCATCCAGCTGTGTGACGTATTCATCACATCTGGAACCCAAACAGAAAAGTGATCATGAGGAAATCAAACTGGAACTTAAGTTGAAAAGTATAGGAAAAAAAAAAAAACCATGGCAGATAACTTATTACAGTACATTGTTCTGACTACTCTACTTTATTACTAGTTATTGTTGTTAATCTCTTACTGGGCCTGATTTATAAATAAACTCTATCAAAGGTATGTATATATAGGAAAAACACTCTATATAGGGTTTGTCACTGTGGGTGGCTTTAGGCAGCCGCTGGGGTTTTAGAACACATCCCTTACAGATAAAGGGGACCTCTATAATGAATTTGGCTGAAATTGAGATATTTCAAACATTGATTTCCTAAGAAGAATGGAAATGACCTGTAGCAGTAGAAAATCAGAAAGAGTAGCACATACTCAAGACTGCTTTACTGGAATGGTATGAACAATGGTGGTTCATCCATGCAGTGGAGGACCTTCCTAGAGCAAAAATAAGCCCGGGGGACGAGTTTCCGTGGGGGCTCTCTTACGGCAGTGATGTATAGTCTCGCATAATCTCCGCAGTAGCTTCCTTAGGTTTTTACAATGGCTCTTTCTCTCCTATAACATTTTGTTAGCTGGAGAAGTGGCTCAAGTGGTTTAGAGTGCCTGCCTAGCAAGCATAAGGCCCTGAGTTCAAACCCTAGTGCTGCCAAAACAAACAAAAAACAGAGCCTTTATAACATTGAGTTCTTTGAAGGAATTTCACAAGGCTTCTACAGGCAATACCTGGAAGAATAATATTAATAAAATATTTCCTTCTTTATCTGCATTTATAGGTTTTAGGTTAGTACAGATTGTAGCTGACACTGTTTCAATATGGTAGATTTGTTTGAATTAGAATGCAGTGATTTCTCAACTGGATGACAAAGCAGCATGTTGCCAAAGATAACCAAGACTATGGAGTTTGATATAGACACAGCAGGTTGTCAGGCATCTTCACCCAAGATAAACTCAATGATCCACCTCCCCACAAGAGGTAAAACCTGAGCCCATTGCCTACATTCACAAGGAAGAAGTGGATGGGAGAAAAGTCACTCTGAGTTTTTACAGTTTACCCACTAAGATATTAATAATAGGTAGACATGGTGGCTCACACCTGCAATCCCAGCTACTTGGGAGACAGAGATCAGGAGAATGGTGGTTCAAGGCCAGCCTGGGCAAAAAGTTATCGAGACTCTCATCTCAGCCAATAGAGCTGGGAGTGGTGGTGGGCATGCCTGTCACTCTAGCCACAGAAGAAGTGTAAACAGGAGGATCATGGTCCAGGTTGGCTGGGACAGAGAACTGAAACCCTATTTAAAAAATAAAAATGAAAAAGGGCTCGGGTGTAGTTCAAGTGGTAGAGAGCCTGCCTACCAAATGCAAGGCCCTGAGTTCATACTCCAGTACCGAAACAACAACAAAAAAGATCTTAACAACAATTACTCCTTAAGTACCAGCAGAAACCTAATGACCTCCTGAAGTTATCCAAAATATGTTGTACTAAATTAGCACAAGCCTGGGGAGTTTTAAAGAAAAAACAGCCTCTGTGGTGAAAGAATATGAAATCTCCATTTTCTTTGACCTTGAATGTCAAGAAAGCATAGTGGGGCTATGTGGATGGTGAGAAAAAGTAGAGCTTGGTAAAATGCAAAGTGAATTTCAGATCCTCATTAGCTAGATAACAATATTTTAAAATACAGATTCAGGCAGTTACTGTACCTGAAAAGAACAAACGTCTGTAAAAATAGACCATTTGGGGGTAATAATTCATACATAAGCCAGATTAAGAGTTTAAGTATCCCTATAAAATCTTTTATTTCTTTCTCAAAGAAGAAATTCATGTTCTCTTGATTCTGAGTGTCACCATGACTTCTTTCATCAAAGAGGGGGACACTGTGGCCCCTCCATTCTCTACCCTGCCCCCACCCGGTTGGAGGTATTCATCTTCTACTCCTCAAATGCCCCCATGCATTTGTGCTCTGAAACCCGATGCCAGTTCCTTCTGTTCCTTGGTGCCCTTGCCATCCATCCTCTTGGGTACTCACCACCCATCCCCAAGATCCAATAACACATGACCTTCAGCCTTTCTCTCCAAACACCAAGGAAGCTGGGGACTCATATAAAGCCCTGGACCTGTTCGTACATTTACATCAGCTATATGTAAATTATTTCCTGAATCTGCACATAAAGCCAAAGTTAGGTTTTGTGAATGATGTACCAAACTGACATATCATACAAGATACATAATGGGCGAGGGGGAGGGAGGACTAGAGATGCTGCTGTGACAGTGAAAGAGGTTATCTCTGGATTATGAAACTGTCAAGTCAGTACACGCTAAGTGTCTTTTCTGTGCCAGGGATGGAACCCAGGGCCTTGCACACGTTAGGCAGGCACTCTGCCACTGAGCTACAAACCCTCAGTCTAAGACATTCTAATGATAACTTCAAGTTTAAGAACACAGTGCTGTGTTCTCAAAATAAAACTACTGTGGAAAAAAATTGGTGAGAGACATAAGTACATTTTAGAAATGATATAATTTAATTCATAGTATGTTAATATCTATTTTATTGTAAGCACTTTTATGTGCTTTAGTCACAGAAATATATTACAGTGGTGATAATACAATATTTAGCTATTTTAGGAAGTGCTGTTTTTCCCTTACTGGAAATCTTTTTTTTTTTTTTTTGGTGGTACTGGGGATCAAACCCAGGGCCTCACACATACTACACAGAGCTATACCCAGCCCCCTTTTTTAAAAACCTAATTCTTGGGCTGGGGTGTAGGTCAGTGGAAGAACATCTGCTTAGTATTCGTGAGGCCCTGGGGGACTGAACCCCAGAAAAATGTGCACACACACACACACATCTAATTATTTTGGGGACATGAGCTCTAGAAAAAAAGAAAAAAAACTATTGTATTAATTCAAAAAATTATTTTTATATAGTGGAACTGCTTGATCCACAGTGCCCAGTAGAGGGCTCTGGAAACGAGCAACTAGAATCTCCTAGGCTTTCTCCATACTTTCCCAGCCTGGACCACAGGTGCACCACAGTCAGTTTTAGGAAGCAACACTGGTTACCTTGTGGCAAACATGGCTCTCAGGGAGGAGAAGGTGGCGGCGTCTTCTTTCAAAGCCTTCAGTTCATTCCTGAGTTTTGTCATCGTTTCCGTCACCATTGCCTTTTCATTTTCATACTTATTCTTCAGATTAGCTAGGGCCACCTCAGCTGTCTGAAGCAGAAAAGTCACAGTGCTTATCACTTCATGCCATGACAGGAATATCTGTCACATACATTTCTTCCTGCTGCTTCTACTCGTGCCTTTCACAAATGGAAAGCAAAGTTGTTTAGATTTTACAGAAGTATATACATACAAGTTGGACATAGGGAAGGTTTTCTTTAAAGTTAGACTGTGTTGTGAATTGTCAATGTGTTATATTGCCCTGGAAGGCTGTGAGGCAGTCAGCATAGGGAGGGAAGGGAATGCCAGCAGTTCTTACAAGTACTTCATGCAGAATGTTGTGAAAGTGAAGGATCTTCAGATATGGTGGGAGCCAAAATGGAACTTTATACAGGAAGGATTTTATTAAGAAGTTGGTAAAGAGGCACAGCTTCCTAATGAAATATGTTAGAAAGCGAGTATTTTTATGTCTCCTGTGCTGTGTTCTGTATTCTGAAATACAGAATAAAAGACAGGCTGGGCATGGTGGTGCATACCTGTAATCCCAGAACTCGGAGTCTGAGGCAAGGTGATCATAGGATCGAATCCACTCTAGGCTACATCACAAGACCCTGTCTCAAACCAAATCAAACCAAAACAAAAGGAAACCCCAAAAGAATAAAAGATAAAGGCCACTGTAATTTATAACATGAATATATGATAAACTATGAACTCATGTTACTATATGTTTAAGGGAAAGAACTGACAAAGAACCAAGCATTTTCTAAGTCTTTTGAATACAACTTATCAAAACAATGAATTATGGTCAAATTTAATTCTTCATAATCTCTTAAAAATGCAGAGACTCCAAAATATTGAGTAAGCAAAATATGTTTGAATTTGGAATTGGGGCATATCTGAAGTTCCTGGAATGAAATGTATTTCAGCTCGAGAGCTAGCCTGGCACAGAAGGAACTACAAAACACACTGACTGAATCAATGCACAGAATGACTATCCAGGGACCGTTTGATGCACAGCACATGGCAGGCATATTGAAGTCAAGCAGGAAACAGTATTTTTATAAACTGTAAACTACAGCTTTTCAGAGTTTGTAAAAATATCCAGTACTATTGAAAAAAATGGCTAATGGGATTTTCCAGAAAGACTTCAGTTGTTTCTAGTATACCTTTCTGTGCTCAAAACAGATAGCTTCAACTTCCGCATGCAAAGTGCCCACTTCTGTAGAGATAAAGGATTCCTTTTTAGTTAAACACATGTTAGGATGGGACAGGGTGCTAATGTTTTGATTCTAAAGTAGTCTCCTCCTAGTTTTGACTGAATTTAAATTCAGATTAAAACAAGCACTCATAAAACATTTTTATGTGTTCTGCACCATTAATAATTAATACCCTGTGGAATCTTCAGAAATATACATTCAGAAAATCATCAAGAATGTGTAAATTGACATGGGAAAAATGTCAGTTGTTGAGATTTTTTTAAAGTTTAGATGAATATTCACTTGGAACAGATAATTAAGTTTAAGTTGTGAAAATGTAGACGTAGCAAGCTTGTAAGCACATGGATGGTGTCTAAGGGGAGGAGTGAGAGGAGATGATAGACAGCCAGATCTGAAACAAAAGTACAAATCATTCATTATTTGGGAGAGAAGTTGACAACATCTCATCTTTAGGTTTTTTTTTTTCTTTTCCGGTGGAATGAGAAATAGAACCTAGGGCCTCGCACATGCTAGGCAAGTGCTTTACCACTAAGCTACATTCCCAGCCTAACAACTCATCTTTGTAGACTTGTTTGTCCATAGACTGGGCAAAGCTTTTTCAGAATTAAGGAATTTTAAGTATGTAAAACCCATAAGTAGATTTGTTGACACCAGCACTTACCACATTCTCCATGAACTCCAAAGTTGACCTAAATGACAAAGCCTCATTCCCAGCTACAGAGACCTTCATGAGCTTTCCGAATCTAACGTCCTATTAACCTCACACTTGTCCCTCTCTACCTGCTCTTCTGTCTGGAATGAACCCTCCTCCCTTGGAAAAATGACTTCTTATCCTTTAAGACAAACTTAACTGTAATTGCTCCTATGAAATCTTCTCTAGCTCCACTAGGAAACATTAGCCTCTCTCTGCAGTGGTTCCATTACTTAGATTATCGCATGTTTACATCAAGCTGTAACCATTTGTCTTCATTGAGTCCTCACATCAGCACAGCCAAGTATACAGATGGTGGTTCATAAATGCTTATTCCATCAGAAGAATTTTCACCTCAGTCTTAAGAATCACCATTCCACAATATGTACATATAACTGATGTAATCTGTTGATACTTGAAGTTATTAATGGCACCGTAGCAGTAAGTCCACGTCATTTAAATGCATATAAAATGCAATTAGAAATGTGTTGTCATATAATTTTCTGAGCCCATACTGGCTGTGTCTCTAAAGTGCTGCAAGTACTATGAAAATATACATTCATCTAGGAATGCTTTGTTCTCTGAATTCTGTGACACTGTTTATACCATTCTAAATATGTCCCATCCTGTAAGAAGTCACAGGCATGTGTTGAATTCATAGTAGATTAGTAAGCACTTATTTTTGTATTCTTACTTACTACCACCCATGAACTATGCAATCAATGAATGCTTATTCACAAATTAGTCTTGTCTGAAAAAGCACTGTTATGTTTTTCAGTTAAACATCTTGACATTTTTTAAAAAGATTTAAGTTTCTAGTTTGTTAATACTCATCCTTCAGGAAAAAGTCAGAGAAGTTACCTGAATATCTTGACCAAGCATAACCCAAAATGTATGTCCTTCATAATGATTAAGTGAGCCTTATGTAATGTGATATTGGTTATTTATTTATGACCACGTTAAGTCATTGGGTCTCTAGACTGTAGCAGAATTATAGTGAAAAATTCATTCTGATCTCAAAGTGAAGTTAGGTCCTCACAATTTCTTTATTTACTCTTAACATTTTCTTTTCTCTCTCTCTCTTTTTAAATTAAAACTGCTTTATTTGTAAGATTTTTTTTTGTGGTGCTGGGGTTTAAACTCAGGGCCTACACCTTGAGTCACTCCACTAGCACTTTTCTGTGATGAGTTTCTTCGAGATAGGGTCTTGTGAACTATTTTCCTGGTCTGGCTTTGAACCATGATCCTCCTGATCTCTGCCTCCTGAGTAGCTAGGCATGAGCTACCTGCACCCAGCTTATTTGTAAGATTTAAAAAAATAAAATAAAATAAAGTCACTCATTACCATTGTTATTCCAAAAATATTTCATGAAATTTTAACAGTTCTGTAATATGGACTGCCTTCTCTCTCCAGAGAGCACTAGTTCCCCTGCCCTGCTGTTCACAGACATTTGCAAGAAGAGATTTGCTGCCTTGTTGCTTCTCTTCGTCAGCACCAATTTATTCAGCACTCTCTCCAGTGTCATTGGAGGCTACCTTTTCAGATAAACTAGATGGTAGTGTTTTCCTGCCCAAGCTTCAGAGCACTCCCACACAGGTAAAACTCAAGGGTGGAAAACAAATCCAGTTACCAAGGAATTAGTCAGGTAGGTTCACATTGTAGCATCATTCTACTTATTCCAAAAGGACATGATCTAGTTAGGAAAAACTCTCTGTTGTTTCAGCTCTGACCCAATTGACATCCAACTGAACCTAGGTTTCAGATAGGTGGTCATCAACAGAGCTAAAATTGGTCAGTCTCTTCCTTCTCCCTCTCTTTCGCTCTCTCTCAATTCCAAGCTATTTTATTTATTAGTAGAAAAATATGCCTGGCTCTGTTTATATTGTTCTGTTCACCACATCTGTCTTGTCCTTCATTCCTAAGTCCCTGATTTGATCATTTCTCTAGCATTCTTGTTTCTCTAGGTCTGCGAGGAAGGACAAAACACCTCTAATCTCTCTTTCTGCACCCCTGCAAATTAAGTCTTGAACTTGGACCAACACAAAAAGCTGGGTGAAGGGCTGGTGGAGTAGCTCAAGTGGTAAAGCATCTGCCTAGCAAGCATGAGACCCTGAGTTCAAATCCCAGTACCTGGGAAAGAGGGGAGAAGAAAGCTGAGTGTAGTGGCACGCACCTGTCATCCCAGCTATGCAGAAAGCATGAATAGGGGGACTGCAGGCCAGGCCAGCCTGGGCATAAATGCAAGACTCTATCTGAAAAAATAATTGAAGCAAAAAAGGTCGGCAGAGTGGTTCAAGTGGTAGAGTGCCTGCCTGGCAAGTGCAAGGCCCTGACTTCAAACCCCAGTACTGTGAAATATGTAATACTTCCATATTACATTTGGAATATGATGTGGAATCAGTATGGGCTTTTTTTTTTTTTAATTTCACTGACCAGAAATCTAAACTCTTATTTTGATGATAGTGGAAACTCAATAAATACAATTAGGGAATAAACTGGTGAAAAAACCTTGAACTAGCATGCTGTTACCTGTTTGTTGGCTTTCAACACGGCCCTCAGTGTGGCGATCTGCTCCCGTTTGGTGCTCAGTAGGGACTTCAGCTTGAGGATCTCTTCCATTAAGGCTTCCTTGTCCTTATCGATCATGGGGGCTAACTCCCGGGCCGCTGCCCTTTGCCGAGACAGCTGCAAGGACCTGTCTACTGCTTTCTGCAGGTGCTTGATTTGGTCCGGATTATGGCGTTGAGGTTGTAGATATTCATGGGCTCTTTGCGGATATCACTTGTATCCAACACTGGAGATGATGGTGGGGCAGTAATAACGGGAGAGATTGTGGGGGTCTTAGTTGGACTTGGTTCTTTGCTGGCCTCTGTGTTTTCTTTTGAAACTGGTTCAGCTGAGGTCCTTGGTTCTACTGGGGATGACACCCCCCGCCTGGCTAATCGCGGAGACAAAAGTCCCCTGGGATCATCGGGCCCTTTCAGACTGCCACTTCTGGTGACTCTGCTCTGCCTGTAGTAGTCCAGCATGACCCTGTTGGGAGTTTCATTATTACACAGACACACATGGTGGTAAAGCTGAGCTAGCTCCTCACTGAACGTCACCAGTTCATCCTGGGCCGTATTGAGGGTATTGTGACTTTCACTGGCTATGCTGGTCATCTTTTGCAATTCCTTCTCCATGTGAGCCATCTTCTCGCCACTTTCCTTGGTGGTTTTCTCTAGGCTCGTCACCTGCTCATCATACATTTGGATCTTACTCTCGTACTTGGCTTTCTCGTCTGTGTAGTTTTCTACAGATTTATTATACTTCTCCTTTAAGGCCTTGATTTCTGCTTTCAGATCTATTACCTCAGTTACTGCCACCCTGTATTTGCACTCGAGGATCTCTAAGCCATTGATGTCCACCTCATAGTCATGGGCCTCCTCCCCTGAGTCCTGGCCTTTCTCCCCATCCAGCTCCGCCTTGAGCTCCTTGCTGCTCTGCAGGCCCCTCATGGCGTTGACGTGCTCTGTGAGCCGATGAACACGCTCATGCTGCTCCGTCAGTGCCCCCTTGGTGTGCTCCAGCTGTGTCTGTGACTCCTGGAGATTGGCCAGGAGAATGGCCTTCTCCCGCTCTACCTGCAAAGGCAAAAGACAAGTCTCTGAATGACTTCCATGCAAATCCAAGGATGAAGTTAAGCCATTCACAGGCCAGCATGTGTAACTGCATCAGAGCCAATGTTCCCATTATATCGAATTAAATTGGAGTGTGCTTTCCTATATTCTGGTAAGTCAATCTAAAAGTACATAATTCATAATATGGTATTTGATGAAAGTCAAGTCATTTGAATTTTTCATAGGGGAAATGGAAGAATCTTCTAAATATTCTATTGCTGGCATTAAGAACAAACTCTGTAAAAATGGACTTCAGAAGTTGCTTGTTCTTTTCCTTTGAAAATTCAATGAATTTCCTCTGAAAGTCTAAACATTATTTAATTACTGTGTATAAAGCTGCTTCCAAAAAGACTTTCAATAGGAAAAGCCTTTAGATAAAAGAAAAATTGATCAAAACAAAATGTGCTGAATATATCCCAAGCTTGTTTTAGAGAAAAAAGTGTTACAATAAATGAGGTTATGTATTAGAATACTTTTTAATTTGGACATTGCCAGTTCATACTTAACAAAGTCTAAAAAGGATAATCTACCAGCTTCTTCAGAACGGCAGCTCCAGAAAACATTAAATATGTGTGTATGTTTCATGGGCTTTTCACACTCATATATTTCTGATTAATTGAATAAGGAGTGGTGCCCAAATTTACATCTATATGCATACACACACACACACACACACACACACACACACACACATACATGCATATATTCTACTTCCCTCCTCTGGACAATTAAGGTGTATCTGACCAAAAAATGACTAAATTACTGATAATTTTATAAAACTCCCACATTATATTTTTACTTAGCTATTACGGCTTTGAGTACCTTAAATTGTATTGGGTTTCAAAGAGCAGGTGCTTGAACTATTTAAGATTCATTTGCTTTGATATACTAAGTGCAAAGCAGTTTAAAGCTGAAAATATGTTTTAAGTGTCCCTATTTTAATTTCCATTTGCACAGAACTTATCCAAGGTAGACTTGCTGAGTTAATTATAATCTTCCATAGTAACTAGAATAGCCACCTTATATCTTTTCCTTCTGTCTGGAGCAGGGATTTTAATTTTTCAGGGTGGGGCAGGTGGTTTTGTCAGAAAAAACCTGAAAGTGGCATTTGTAAAATGTTTAGTGTAAGTGTACTATAAATACTAATTATAACTGTTGTTATTATATTCCATAGAAATTATGATTCTTATTTATTCATTTTTTGGTCAGTACTGGGGTTTGAACTCAGGGCCTCATGTTTGCTAGGCAGGTGCTCTACCACTTGAGCCACTCTCTGTCAGCCCTGCTTTATGTTTTTTTTGTGGTAGTAGGACTTGAACTCAGGGCCTTTACCTGGAGCCACTCCACGAGCCCAACTTTTTGTGACAGAGTTTCACAAGATAAGGTCTCTGGAACTATTTGTCCAGGCTGGCTTCAAACTGTGATCCTCCTATCTCTGCCTCCTGAGCAGCTAGGATTACAGGCATGAGTCACCAATACTTGGTGGAAATTATTTTTAATTTCACTGAATAGTTACTTTTTAATATATACTTCTTTTGTGAAAGAAGAAAGAAAATATAATATAAATTCATATTAAGACTTGCTTTTATTTTGAGACGGCCTTGTTATATAATCCAGAGTAGCCTTGAACTCGTGGTCCTCCTGCCTCAGCCTCCTGAGTAATGGAGTAATGGAGTAATGGAGTAATGGCACCAGCCACATTTTCTTTGGCCCTTCATCCAGTGATGAACACTCTGATTCTTTCCATATCTTGACTGTTCTAATAATGCTTTGGTGAACATGAGAATACAGGTGGTTTTTCAATGTACTGAATTCTATTTCTTTGGATTCATACCCCAAAGTAGGATTGCTAGACCAGATGATAATCCTATTTTTAGATTTTGGAGGAATTTCATAAAGTCTTTATTCCTGTCATCTGACTCAACCTGAACTTGAGTGATCAGTGTAGTTCTTATAACAGTATACGTACACTACAACTCTGGAATGCACAGCAAAGAACTCCATGAAAAAACAGTCAGCAGAGAACAAAGAAACACCAGGTGAGGAAATCGATCCATTGTAAAAGAAGAGTGTGTACTTTGCAGAGTGTAGTAAAAAGGAAACTCTCACATACACAGCCAGATACAAAAGTCAGCCAGCAGGATAAGGGCTCAAAACAACAGTGACCCTTCCCAACTCACTCTAGCACTCCAGTGTTCCTCTAGTACCCAAACCAGAGGAAGATATTCCATGAAAACTACAGACAAATATCTCTTAAGAATATAGAATAAAATCCTCAACAAAATATTTGCAGGATGAATTCTGTGACATAAAAAAGGGTTAGACAACATGATCTAATGGGATCTAGAGAGATTTATCCTAGGAATTCAATGTTGACTTAACATTCAAGAATCAATAAATATAATACACTATTAATAGAATAAAGGACTGAAATCACATGATCATCTCAATACAAGCAGAAAAAGCATTTGACAAAATTCAATACTCCTCCATGATAAAAATATAGCCAATAATCTAGGAATAAAAGGAAACGTCCTCAACCTGATAAAGACATCTATGAATCACCACAGGTAATGTTTTTTCAAATGGTGAAAGACCAAATGCCTTCCTTTTTAGTTCAGTAACAAGACAAGGATGATTGCTTCTGCCACTTTTATTCAATACTGTACTGAGAGCTGAGGGCTCAGTAGGCCCAGCATGTGTGAGGCTCTAGGTTCGATCCCAAGCCCTGTAAAAAAATTTTAAAAAGTAAATAAAATAAAAACAACATTGTATTGGAAGTTCTAGCCAAGAAAAGTAGGCAAGAAAATGAAACGAAAGGGGTACAGATTAGAAAGGAAAAAGTAAAATTATCTTTACTTACTGATGACACGATTTTGTATATAGAAATTCTTGAAGGATGCACTAGAAAACTACTAAGACAAGTACAGTAAGGCTGTAGGAAACAAGATTCATGTATAAGCATCCATTGCACATCTGTACACTAGCAACGAAAAACTGAAAGTGAAATATCACAGTTGCACTTTATACACTCTTAAAAAGATAAAAATATTTAGGAATAATTTTAACAAAAGAAGTGCAAAATGTATACTCTGGAAACTATAAAGCACTGTTGAAGAAGTTAAAGAAGACCTAAATAAAAGGATAAATATCCCCTGTTCATGGACCAAAAGGAAGATAACAATATTCCACAACTGAGCTACATGTTCAATGCCAACCCTGCGAAAATCTCAGCTGACTTCTTTGCAGAAACTGATAAATTGATCATGAAATTTATATGGAAATACAAGAATCCTGAACAGTCCAAATGAAATTCCATAAAGTTCTTAAAAAAGAACAAGTAAACTATGTTATTGAAAAATTTACTACAAAATGACAATAATCAAGACAGTGTAGTCTATCTAGATAAATGGGATAGAACTGAAAGTCCAGAAATAGACCCATATGTTTATAGTCAATTGATTTTGACAACTTTGTAAGAAAAGAAGTCTTTTCAGTGAATGATACCTGAATAAGTGAATACTCACATCTAAAATACTGATATTGAATTCCTACCTCCTATCATATATAAAAATTAAGTCAAGTGTATCACAGATTATTTGACCCATGTAAGAGATAAACTAGAAAACTCTTAGAAGAAAACCTACCTACTAAATCTTCATAACCTTAGATTAGACAGTGGCTTTGTATGACATCAAAAGCATGAACAAGGAGAATGACAACAAAGAAAAGTAAAGTAGATTCATTATGATTAAAAATTTTTGTGCATCACAGAACACCATCATGAAAGTAAAAACAGAATCCACAGAATGAGAGAAAATACTTGCAAACTATGTATCTGATAAGAAGTTTTTCTCAGAATAAACAACTCTTTTAACTCATAATGAAAAGATAAATAATGTAATCCAAAAAGTGGGCAAAGGACCTGAATAGATATTTTTCCAAAGAGGATATACACATGGCCAATGAGCACATGAATGTTCCAATCATTAGCCATCAAAGAAATGCAGGTCAAAACCATGAGACGTCACTTCACATCCATTCAGATGGCAATGATGAAAAGGGCAGATAATAACTAGCGTTGACAAGGATATGGAGGGCTGGTGGAGTGCCTGCCTAGCAAGTGTGAGGCCCTGAGTTCAAACCCCAGTGCCACTGAGAGAGAGAGAGAGAGAGAGAGAGAGAGAGAGAGAGAGAGAGAGACAAGGATGTGGAGAAACCAACCAAACCCATCATAGAAATGCTGGTGGGGTGTAAAATGACACCATTTTCCACTTTGGAAAATAGTCTGGCAGTTCCACACACACACACACACACACACACACACACACACACACGAGTGTATGAATGCTCACAGCAGCATTACACATAATAGCTCAAAAAGTGGAAACAACTCAAATGTCCATCGACTGATAAATGGATAAATAAAATGTGGCGTATCTCCACCATGGAATATTATTTGGCAATAAAAGGAATGAAGTGCTAATACCTGTTATAACATGAATGAACCTTAAAAATGATATGCTAAGTGAAAGGAACCAGTAACAAAAGAACATATATTATATAATTCCACTACATGAAATGTCCATAACAGACAAATGTGTGGAGACAGTGGCACACAGCTTAGTGGCTGCTTAAGTTGGAGGTTTCTGGGAAAACGGGGAGTGACTGCTAATTATGTGTATTAAGTGTATGGTTAATTATGCTAATTCAGTGTACGGTTTCTTATTGGTGTGATTAAAGTGTTCTAGAATTGGCTATGGAGATAGTGTGCTCAACTCTGTGAACACAACAGAAACCTCTTTACGTGGATGAACTGCGTGGCTGTTCTGGGGAGGGACCCTCTTCTGGTGCTGTGACTACAGATTCTCTTTGCATGTTTACTGAAATGTAGTAGAAAAAGTAAGGCCTGAGTGAAGTGTGGTGGCTCACATCTGTAATCGTAGCTACTAAGCAGGTAGAGA